TTTAAAGAATTTGTAAAAATTTTTTAAGTTCATTAATAATTTATATATTTTTTTAACATGGATAAACTCAATTTTATTTTAAAGTTAATCTTTCTATATGTAGTAAATTGAATTTATCCTAACGTAGAATATAAACAGATTTCTAAAAGTAGAGCAAATTCTTGTGAGACAGATTAACCAAAGGTAGACTTTAAATTTATTTAGCAAATCAGATTTATCCTAACGTAGAACATAAACAAAATTCCAAAAGTAGACTTTGTTTTAAATTTATATAATCTAATATAGATTAACCAAAGGTAGACTTTGCTTTAAATTTATGTAGCAAATCAAATTTATCCTAACGTAGACATAAACCAAATTCCAGATTTTACTATAAGTTTATATTTAATAAATTTATTTTATATTAATTAATTGAAAGAATATAATCTAAAAAAAAGTAATTTATATTATTTTACAAGATGAATTTTACAAGACTTAGTTTTTTAAAACTATAGATAAATTTTATCTATAAAAAGGGTTGAAATTTGTCTTTGAGTTAAAGCATCGAATCTCAGGATTTGATACCGAAAGCATTACTCTTGGGGTTAGCTTTCAGAAGAAATAATTAAAAAATAAATTATTTTTTCAAGATGGAAAGAGACATTGTGACTCACTTTGTCAGATTTTCATCAATTAAACAGAAAGTATTTCATGAATCATTCATTGTTTTGAATAACATATCATAGCGAAATATAGATTTTGATCAATCATATATGATCAAATATGAGAGAAGAGAAAAAAAAGATGAAAAATTTGATATGTTAAAACATTCTGAACATATTCCCTATTTTGATTTTTTCCAATATAAATGTAAAGATAAAAAAGAATTCTATCCTAATCTTTGGCAATATGATAAAAGCCATAAAAATCGTTTTTGTCTATTTAGACAATGTCTTCAATATTTTAAACTTCTTCAGAGTGTTGATAAAACTTTATCAACAAAAGAATGTTTAGGAAGTTTGAATAGTAAAGGTTCATTAATGAGATTTAAGAAACTTTTTCGTAATTTAAAACTTGATTATGATATTTTTTTTTGGGTTAAGAGTTTTAATCTATCAACTATAGCTATTTACAAAAATGAAGTAACTCTTTTACGAGAATTCAAACAGACAGTCTTAAAAAGAAAAAAAAGAAAAAGAAAAATGAAGTTATTGTAATAAATGAAATTGAAAAAATGCTCAATAAAAGAATTGATGAGGTTGAAGAATATCATTTGAAATCTCCTCAATTAAACTCCAAATCTTCTATATATATTCCAGCTTCTTCTACTCAGTAATTTTTTTACAGAGTAGGATTTTTTAGACGTAAAACAAGATGATTGATTCTACGATTGCAAGCATTTTATCTAGAATTATTGTCTTGATTTGTCAACTTTTGAATGCTATAAATCAAACATATTTACAAATTCCTCTACAACTAAATGATATTGAAAAAAATAATTAGGATGAAGAATCTGAAAATTATATAAATAATAATAAAGATTATATCACAATTAATCAATATTTATGAAATAATCTAAACATAGACAGACAAAAGTTTTTTTTGAGAGCTAATGAGATAAATAATATTAATA